TGTAGCCAGAACTTTAAGACCCATTCCCCATACTTGTCATTCCTATAAAGATAGATCAAGATGGGTAGCTTTGTTAGTCTGTCTGTAGCAGTAGAAAGAAGCAAGAGTGCAGCAGCACCTTAAAGACAAACAGAATTCGTGGCAGGGTATGAGCTTTAGTGAGTCACTGAAGTGAGCAGTGATGCATGAAAGCTCATACCCTGCCACAAATTTTGTTGGTCTTTAGTGCTACTCAACACTTGCTCTTTTCTATTCTCATTCCCATAGGCTTTAATCATGAGGACATTATTCCAAAAGATGTCTTCAATGGTTTGCCTTTTGGAATTCTCAAGGCATGAAAACTTCCACATATTTTGACACAAACATGAGTCTCAACCAATAGCTTGTGACTGGATTGTCTAATGCTCCAAAATTTGTGAACAAATCCTGAACCAAAGTACAGAATTCCTTATCGGATTACATCAGCCATATGCTCATAGTCCTCATATGTTTACTGACATATCCTGAATTCTCTCCCACTTATTCTTTAATTAATACAACTGTATCCATATCTAGTCCCTCCTGAATGAACAAGACCTGCGTAAGTCTTAAGCATTAAACATTCCTTCTCTAAGGTGTGCCAACCCAAACACCTATAACATTATGATGTTGCAACAAGGACACTAGATATAACCAATACTTTGAACCACATGTTGCTTGCTTGTTTAAATGGCCATGGAATGGACCCAGGATCATTCACAGCACAACATATATGAGGTTACTGCAATTAAGATTCCCAAGTCCAGTCCAATAATGTGCACGACTAGCTTGCTTTTTGTAAGAAAGTTGATATACATGCAATTTTGCAAAAGGAGGCTATGGAGTTCAGTGGAAGTAATTTGAGATGAAATAAATTCAGTTCATTCACCTTCACCCTTTCATAACCAGTGAATTATTTAAACAAAAAGCCCTCTCTCTCAAATAAAAGAGAAATTTCACAGAAAATGAAACAGAAGAATTAAAAAGTAGAAGAAATAATTTGCATATCTTCAGATTGTCCTTGCTAGTGAAAAGTACAATGGGCAATTCTTCAAACTGTGCGTCAGTTAGATGTAACAATACATGCAATGCCACTAGTGTGCTCCTAGTTTTCTAAACTTCCTTATTTCAAAAGATTGTAAGCAAAGGCTTTGCTACATTGTTGGCAACAGGGACCTTTTCCCTAAATCTTATATTTCAGGGTCAGAGCCCTTAAAAACAGTTGCACAGCCAATCACCAGAAGAACAAAGATAGCCTCTGTATCCAATACTGTTTTCATAAAAGTGTGTCTGAAAACTGGGGCGACTGAACCTCTCCCTCCATTTAACTAGTGTGATTAAGAACCTACTGGTTGATTTCTCAATCGGCTATTTAAGTGGCTTTTACTGACTATGTTCTTAACAGCTCTGTTTTTACCTTGTAGGTTTTAAAATCGCTCAGGCATTGTTGAAAAAAAGGCTGTGATCTTTAAGTGAGTGAAGGTGGGGACTCTGTCCTCGGCAGTCTTTCCTGCCAGTTTTAACTGCTCTGCTGTTGCTTTTCAGGGTCACAAAGTTTTCCTTTTAACACAACAGGTCTTCAAGAGTTTTTAGGTGGACAGAAGAAAGGAACATGGAGGGAAAAAAAACCCAGTTCTTCCTACTCGATCTTTCTCTAGGGACCCCAGCAATAAACAGGGGGGTTAAGTTTCTTATACTAAACTTAATATATATTAAGTATAAAGTTATTCTATCAGCAGTCAACAAATAACAGTTTTATAAGTCAAATTTTAATCAAGTGGAATTAAGTCCCTGATTTAAAATACATGATCAAAACATAACTCTGCTGTGACTGGCCAAAATTAGAATGCAATTAATGGTTCCGGTATTCAGCTGTGCACACATGCATGTATGAATTTTTAATAAATGTGATTTCTGAACTATCTTTGTAAGCAAAACCACACAAACATATTTAAGATTAAACCAAAATAACAGTGCCAAACAAGTGGTTTCACAACTGCCTTAGAGCAGTTTCTAAAATGCTCAGACACCTGACAATTAAGAGAGATAAAAAGCCATGAAATTATGTTGCTGACATTATCTGCCTCCGTATAGGAATACTTTTCAAGTATTCCTGCCTACTCATTTGGTTATTACATGAACAGTAGGAGGTCTGCAACAATGTCCTCAGTTGCTTTCTGGGAGAAATATCTGTTGAAGCTATAATTAATACATTTATTTTAAATAAAATGATCCATACAGTTCCTTCACTGTTGACTACAGATCCCATTCAACTCTGAGCAAATGTAGGGTGTCGGCTGACACCGTCATGGGATGTGTGGAATGTGTGGGCTGTGCACTTGTGCTTTGCCACCCTGCTTTTCTCTGCAGCTGCCTTCTCCCTGCTGCTTTGTTATCTCTCCGTGGCCTTGAGCGCCTGGTTCATCCGTCCTGCCTCCTTTGCCAGTCTCCCGCCCTCACTGGGTCTGTTAGTTTTTCCCCCGCATTTGCAGGTGTTTGCTCATTGGCCTCTGCTCATCAGGGGGTCTTGTATGATTGGGGTATAACTGCTTAACCCGCTCATTTTATGTTATTCCTGACACAGAAGTTCATGGAGTATCCTCTACTCTGATCAATAAACTGAACCTGCTTAGGTCCTGTGTGTTGGTACTGAGTTATTGGAATACCTGACAGAGGGGACCCAGACTTGTTTTGGGGGGCGGGGAGACAGTTGCTGAAGGAGCTGAAAAGTCCTGCACACACATGAGAACATGACACTTTGGATTGTGGCCTAGAGTTACTAGGAGTTACAGAAGAGAGCAAGAGTCAAGTAGTACCTTAAAGACTAACCAAATTTGTGGCAGGGTATGAATTTTCACTGAAGAAGGGAGCAGCGACTCACAAAAGCTCAAACCCTGCCACAAATTTGGTTAGTCTTTCAGGTACTACTCAACTCTTGCTCTCTTCTTCTGCTAAAAACAGACTAACATGGCTACCCATCTTGATGTGTCTCCAGTAGGAGTTATGACAGGAAAACAACTGCCCTTTAAAAAGGCAGACATTCAAGGAAGACACCCCATCTGCTATGTTAACAGAAACTGCATAACGCAGAGTCATTCAGGACAGCTTTCTCAAACAGTGGCTGAATTTCTAGAAGGGTTCATATAGCAGATTGTTTTGTCTTATGATTGTTCTGTGGTTCTGGCATATTATTTGATTTTTATAGATTGTAATGAAAGGATTTTAAACATTGTTGTAACCAGGGATCTTTTCCTAGAAAAAGAGCTGCAGGCGCTCATTAGCATATACCATACCCCCTGACATCACTGGAAGTCATGTCAGAAGGGGAAGCAAGGGGGGGAAGGCATCTTCAAAAGCCTCCCCTTCCCTTCCCCAGCTGACCTGTGGGGGGGGGGGAGAAGGGGTTTAAAGTTTAAACCCCTTCTCACTAGAGTTGGGCCACAGAAGGAGGAAAGAGGGAAGGAAAGAGAGAAAGTAGAGAGAGAAGGGAAGAAGGAGGGAAAGGAGGAAAAAAGAGATGAGAAGAAGGCGGGAAAGAAAGAAAGAGAGAAGGGAAGGAGGAGGAAAAGAGGAAAAGGAGAGAAGGAAAGGAGGAAATGAAAGAAAGAGAGAAGGAAAGGAGGAAATGGAAGGAAGGAAGGAAGGAAGGAAGGAAGGAAGGAAGGAAGGAAGGAAGGAAGGAAGGAAG